CCCCACCTCCAATCCCAGGTCTTTACACGGGCTGGATGCAGGTGATGGTGATGCCAGACAGCCCTTCTCACCTCTTTAGCCATGCCCTTACCCAGGGGCCCAGCAGATTCTCAGTGATGCTGTAAAACCTTTTCATACTCCCTTGGTGTGTCTCAGTTTGGCTGTCCGGTGGGTGATGGCGATCCTAGTGTCAGAAGCATTTGAACCAGAGCAACTCCATCTTGAACAGAGGGTGAGTAAAATGAGGCTGAGACCTACTGGACTGCATTTCCAGATAGTGAAGGCATTCTAAGTCACAGGATGAGATAGGAGGTCAGCACGAGATACAGGTCATAAAGACCTTGCTGATAAAACAGTTTACAGTAAAGAAGTCAGCAGAAATCCTCCAAAGCTAAGATGACCACGAGAGTGACCTCTAGTCGTCCTCACTGCTACACTCCCACTAGTGCCTTGACAGTTTACAAACGCCCTGGCAATGTCAGGAAGTCACCCTATATGGTCTAAAAAGGGTAGGCATGAATAATCCAACCCTTGTTTAGCAAATTATCAGTAAATAACTATAAAAATGTGCAACCAGCAGTCCTTGGGGATACTGTGTCTATGGAATAGCCATCCTTTTATTCCTTTACTTTCTTCATAAACTTGCTTTCACTTTATGAACTTGTCCTGAATTCTTTCTTGCATGAGATCCAAGAAGCCTCCCTTGGGGTCTGGATCCAGACCCCTTTCCAGTAACACTAAGAACCCGCTCATCTTCTCTTGGCAGGTCCTGGCAGGTGGTCCTGAGGATCCTGCCAGGAAGAGATGACTACTCCTTAGCAACTCTTGCTTTATTACTGGCCTTGGGACATCGTCAGCATGGAGATACTTTGACATCCCACTGTATGTGAACATATCGAGGAATGAATCAGCAACATTTACGTCATCAGCTGGGACATGACTTCCAAAAGATCAGAGCCCTTTGCGTTGGCAAATGCAGCCTATCTCATTGATCTGTGATAATTCATGGGAAAACACACACCTCTCTTCACATCATCTGTGCTATGTTTTCCTGTCTCAATTTTGGAACTCTAAACTAGAAGCTGCCCAGTTACGATGACCGTGATGGCTCACAACTAAATTACAGGGCATAAGGTTATCTTAAAGGACAATGTTTTACGAAGGCCATGCCATGCTGGCATGTGAGATTGGAGATGCACTGCCGCAAACTAGGTCCTGGTTCAAATCAGCAATCATTACATTAGCTTTACACATTTTGTGATATTAAAACACAGATCAATGGATGGAGAATAACATTAAATTTGCCAAAGGTATAGTTTGACAAATTGGCTTCAGATCCCTACGAAAAGAAAAAGAAAAGCCTGCTGGCATTATATTTTCATAATTGATTTTTTTTTTGAGATGAAGTCTTCCTCTGTCACCCAGGCTGGAGGGCAGTGGCATAATCTCAGCTCACTGCAACCTCCGCCTCCTGGGTTCAAGCAATTCTCCTCTCTCAACCTCCCGAGTAGCTGGAATTACAGCCTTGAGCCATCTTGCCTGGCTAATTTTTCTGCTTTTAGTAGAGACAGGGTTTTGCCACGTTGGCTAAGCTGGTCTTAAACTCCTGACTTCAAACGATTTGCCTGCCTCGGCCTCCCAAAGTGCTGAGATTACAGCCGTGAGCCACCATGCCTGGCCTAATATTTATTTTTGTTATTCAGTTGATTATAATGAATCTTTACCTTTAATTTGAAGTGAGAATATGCTAAAAATATATAGATATCATCTTTATGGTATTGAATCAACTAATTGTTTTTAAAACAGGATTTATGCTTTAGAAAAAGAGTATCCATGTTCTTTTCTTAAATTAACCAAGGCTTTGATACAAATACTCTCCAAACTCCATCTTCATGCATAGTACTCTACTGAGAATTTTGGTAGATTAGTTCTTGATCTTCAGAAAGTCGTAGTATATTTGTATGTTTATATATATATCTATATAATAAATATATAATGTGTATACATATAAATGAACACTTGTAAATATATAGTATATAAATGTAAAATACTTATAACATGTACTTAGAGTAATTACTATTATTTGAATATTATTAATGTGCTAATTTTAATAATATAATAATAATTGAGCAACAATTAAATACCAGATATTGTGCTAATTGTTTAATATGCATTATCTAATTTATTCCATCCCGCAATTATTAAAATAGATGTATAACACCTATTATTATTGAAATAGATGTAGTTATTACACATCTATTTTCATAGTTATTGGACTGAATAAATTAGATGTATACCTGGATGTATAAACATCTACAAGCACAGAAGAGTTCATGCACAGAAGCCTAGATTATTGTTATACCTATTTTACAAATGAGAAAAAGAGAAAAATTGATTTGTCTGAGGTTGCATAACCAGTATGCAGCAGCTGCCAGAATGAAATCCAGTTCCCTCTGACTCAGAAGCTGTGCTCCTCACTAAGGTAGAGAGAATTAGAATGGTCCATTCCCCAGAGCAGAAACTGCGGGTAGGTGCCAGGAGGGCCACTTGAAGTGGCATCTGTCATTCCAGAATGATCTTGAAGACAACTCACAGCATTATGTGCCAGGGAGACTGTGTCCCCAGAAGGATGGAAAAAAGACAGCCGGCAGCCATAAACCAACTTAAAACACACACATAGAACCTGGCGACAAAATCTGCAGTGCCCTGTGAGTCACTGTGTGTTAAGTGGTATAATTATATGCTGCTAGCACAAGTATGTACACATACATTCATCTATTTAAAGTATTAATTTAGAGAATGTAAGCATTTGAAATACACAACAGTTCCTCTAATCCTATATTAGCATTTCACCATTGAAAAAAAAAAACCGGTTGTCGGGTCAAGAAATAGAATCATCTGGGCCTTCACTCACCTCTGATGGCCTGATCCATGAGTAAGCTGCTGACGCTGGGATGGAAATTGCATGTAAATGATGGGGACGTTGGTGCTGGGGAAGTGGAGTGAAACTGGACATGTTCAGCATTTGTTCGTCCAAATAGAATTCCAGGTGCATAACCACCTACAAGCACAGGTGAGTCCATGCACAGAAGCCCAGACCCCCAGTAGCCTCATCTTCCCTTAAACAAAACCTTTCTTCTCCATCATGAGATGAAGAAGGAGCCCCAACCCCTCCATCAGGTAGAGAGGATGCCGGGAAGAAAGGCGGCCCTCTGCCTGCACAGGTCAGTGAACAGTAGCCGACAGGGAGAGGTCACTGGGCAGGCAGAGTGGCCACACTCTATCCCCAGTTCAGCAGCCCTGACCTGAACATCCCACAATCCAAGCGGCAGGTGGAGGTGGAGCCATCCAGCCCTGTGGCTCAGAGCTGCCCGGCAGACACCCGCCAGGAGCACAGCTCAAGATAACCCTCAGACCTGATGGATAGTGCTGGTCTCAGCCACACAGTTATTGCACTGAGCCCTGTAATATCATTCACTTCAAGAATCAAAACATTTAGTGTGCTCCATTTTAATTAGAGAGGGGACTGTACCTCCTATTTGGATGCTATTTCAAAATAAATGTTGGCCACAGCAGGTTTGACAGATAGTTCAAAAATTGACTGCTGAATGGTGATAATGTTTTTATGTGTTTTTAAAAGGATCGTGTTTTTCAGGTCTAAACAATTAATTGGTCAGAGTATATATCTTAACTTCTGAACATGAAACACTGTTTGATGTAATGATTGAAGAGTTAAAACAATTTCTCCTGAAACTCTATAGATCTCAGTTCCTGTTCAGCGTCTCTCTAAACAAAATGTTAAAAGGCAATGTTCTATTTTCTAAGGTGGAATATTAGTTTTAGTGTCAGGTATTTTCTAAATGAAGGGTTTGTTACATTCTCTGATATTTAAGTAAATGTTTTTTCTTTGATACGCAGGTACTTTGAAGATGTTTCCACTTCCCTTCAAAGATGTTCAATGTCCCTGCACAGAATGAGAGATGCCACCTTCTCCAGCATGAGACACATCCCCACGTGATCCCTTACCACCCAGACTCCTGGGCGAGTTGGGAAGAAAGAACAGAAGTCAACGCATCCCATTGATTTTCAAGGCACACCCAAAACGTATGAACTTAGATATTTCACAGAGTTTCCAATGTACCTGCCTGTATTTACAAAATAAGTGTATGATTTCTCCCCAAACGTTATTTTTTTTTGCAAGTTACATGCCAATAACCGCCACTGAACATAAGCTGATATTTTTGCTGAATTAAGGATTGTGAATTATCCTTGTAGCATTCTTCGACTTCATCACACATTTCAATTACTTCTCTAAGCACTGACTGTCCCCATAAAATATCTTTAGTTCTTTTCCCCTATGAAATGTGCTGCCAACAATAATGTTTTACTAGAAAATAATGTACATAAATTAACATGATCAAAACCTATAATTATAGAAAATAATATTTGCTTTGTATTCAAGCGAACCTTTCCATGGACAGAAACAAGCACCTTGTCACGTTTTAAGTAAACATTAATTATGAAAAACAAATTATTTGCAAGGAGGCAACACAAAAGTGGATGCTGAACTTCTATGTTAGAGTAAATATCTCACAGATTTGATATGGAACTTTCTTTTAAAGTCTTAAGTTTTCAGTGCTCCTATTGGCAAACGATGTATTAGACCTAGTAATGTAAAATATAATGAAATAGATTGTATCTAATGGAAACACTAGTACTCATTAGATCTGATAACTGTGAGTCTAAATGTGAAACCTCTGCTTTATGAATTATCGCAGATGGTATTGTAGATGATGTCTTCAAGCTCTCTTGCCAAATAAACTCCTTATTAAAGGAGGCCCTAAGGATGATTAAAACAAAATTTAGGGCAGTGGATACATCAGGGGAAAGCAAGGGAGGAGAAAATTGGAGAAGTGCACCCAGGAGGCATGAGCAGTATTCATAATGTTTTATTTCCAAATGCTACCTTATGTGCACCACCATTTGTTATATTATTCTTGATATCTGTAACAAGATGTTATGTGCAGATTCTTTCAGGACTCAGAAAACAATGGAAGGCAAGTACTCCCCCTTTCCAAAGTGGGGTGCTGACCACTGGTAATGCAGTAAATCTTGAGGATATCAAAGGATTGAAATGCAAGAGCCCTGAAAATTGGACATTAAAAAGGCATTAATTTCAAGAGCGTTTTCTCTGAACTGTAATTTCCCCTCCAGTATGAGACTGTAGTGGGAAGATGCTCCTCTCCACTTCACTGGGTGTGAGATGAATTTTGTTTCAGTTTGACGTCACTCAGAAATAGATCCTGAGACAAGGTTTCAAGTTCTCAGGGTTTATGTGGGAGATAACCCAGAAAGCACTAGTAGAGAAGTGGGAAAGTGATACAGGAAAGAGAACCAACAAAGGATGTGTTACCCCACTGATGTCAACTGGAGTAGGATCCCATTAGGATATGCACGGTCCTGGGTTCTCATCTTGGGCAGAACAAAGGTAAAAGGACAACCTGGGTCTTCAGATATGTGATATGGGAGAGACATGACATCTGAAATGCGGATACCAAAGAAACCAGGGAAACATAAATCCATCATGATTTTGCAACTAACTTAGGGAGGGCACTGGACTTCCCAGTCCCTTCACTGGGGGTGGAGAGGGCAGGAAAAACACAACATTCTTTTCTTTTAATGCCAAATGACTATATGATCATAGGTACCATTCGAGTTGAATGTCTACTGTCATTTTGTGTTAAACATAATGAAATTTATCTACTAGACTGTAGACTCCACGTGGATAGGGTGGGATCTATACTTCTCACTGTTTTCTTCCTAGTTTCTTGCACATTGCCTGGCTGGAGGGACAAAGCAAGAAAATGATGTTGCTAAAACCCAGATTTGGCCGGACTCGGCAGCTCATGCCTGTAATCCCAGCACTTTGGGAGGCTGAGGTGGGCAGATCACTTGAAGTCAGGAGTTCAAAACCAGCCTGGCCAACATGGTAAAATCCTGTCTCTACTAAGAATACAAAAATTAGTTGGGCATGGTGGTGCGTGCTTGTAATCCCAGCTACTCAGGAGGCAGAGGCAGGAGAATTGCTTCAACCCCGGGTGGCAGAGGTTGCAGTGAGCCGAGATTAAGCCAGTGCACTCCAGCCTGGGCGACAGAGCAAGACTCCGTCTCAAATAAATAATAATAACAAATAAAATAAAACTCAGATTCCCAGTGGGAGCTGGAGCCTGAGGAGATTCAGCCAGTGCTGAAAATCTAGCCTGGGGAATGGAGCAAAGGGAAGAAACACCCTGGTCTCTTCCTTCCTCCCACCTCCCAATCTCCCAGCAGTGCCTCTCACTGGCTAAGTTGAGCCTGAAGCCAGCTGGCAAGGAGTCACGGACACTGCAGTTTCCTGGGATTCTGGGCACAGGTGGGAAGGGTTGGAGAAGATCTGATCTGCAGGTGAGCATCCTCTATGCCCTGGGAACCATATGTACGAGAGAGCTTGTGGGGAAAGAAAGCACACAGGTGCCCCCAATGACTGCAGTTTGGGAGATGGCCCCAGGGCACCATTCTCCAGGAGGAAGGATGTCACAGCCTTACCTAGATCAGGATCCTCCAAAACTTAGACACTTTCTTATGTGGGAGAAGATTACATTGTTTTTGCGTAAGACCAAACCTTATTGTCACAGGAAAATACGTTTTCTAAAAATTATACATGATTAAAACTCTCATGTTACTGATAACTGTTTTTAATTTTAAATAAGTTGATTGGCATGACTTTTAAGATGATCTTCAAATATGAGGTTTGTGTCACTGCCATCTAAGAATTACGCAAATTTTAAAAGAAAATAAAACGTTGCCTCTGCAGAGCTCCAGTAGAGAACTAGTAGTAAAAGAATATTATTTTCGTTTTTATTATAAAAGCATTGGTTTGAGCTAAAACAGTCTCCAAAATTTCCTTCTAAATCCTCCCACACCATTTCTTTATCTTTGGATCAACTCTTTATAGCATTACATTACCTCTGATTGAAATTTTCTTTGAACAGAAAACAAGAAACTTCTATAATATGATGGGGCTGAACCAAGATATGTGGGTGTATAGGATTGGCTGACATTTGGTAATTCTTATAGCATTTATTTCTTTTTAAATATTATTCACCTTTATTTAGAGAAGAAGTAGAGTATTTCAGATGGGGAGAGAAGACAAGAAAATACTTGTTCAGAGTAACTTTATTTGCTCTGAACAAGTCAGCTCTGTCCTTGAGTTTGAGTTCTTGCTCAAAAACAACAATAGCCAATCCAGAGGTTAATTAGAAACCTTATTCTCAGTAGGTCTGACTGGAGACATATGTATTATATCCATATCCATATATGTATGTATGTATTGATATACAATACAGTTCTGTACAAAACAAGCTTTGTAGATAATGCAAAATCAGTATAATGTAATATATAGTGCACGATTATAGTGTATATTATTTTAATATATGAGAATATCTAAACACACATATATATAAATTATATTCAGTAATTTCATGAAAGGAGATTTGACACGGATCCCTATCCCTACCTTCTTACATCATTTATAGTCTTCATGAATGTTCGGAGTCTCAACAATGAGACTGGCCATATTTTAATCTGGTCTTGATCTCTGATAAGAAAGACCAGACACCTATGAAAACAAAAGAGCAGGTGAGTCTTGAAGAAGTGGAGCTTGGACATGGGAGAGACTGAGCAGAGACAGAAAGGAGGTAAAGGTCCTTGTTACCTGGCACAAAGAAGGTGGCATTTTAGATGGAAAATACTATGAACATATGCTATGTGACCTTCTCCATTTTAAAGGCCAGTTGGTGCTCTGGGGGCAGCACCTACCTGGGGCATGTTCCTCTGGTGGTGAATGATAGCTGTGCAGGCAAAGCCTGGCAAGCATATTGAAGCCCTCTGCTCTTGTCCCATCTGCTAACATTTCACTGGGCCGAGCAGGTGATATACCCAGGCCCAAAGTCTACAGGAGGGCTAGTATATTTCATCAGAGAGGGAGGGTGTGCATCACAGCATGGCCAAGGATGCAAAGGTATATTTTCATAA